TCTATTCTATTCTATTCTATTCTATTCTATTCTATTCTATTCTATTCCATTCCATTCTATTCTATTCCATTCTATTCTATTCCATTCCATTTCTCTCCTTTCCTCACAAGGATCTTTAAAAAAAAAGATGCTGTACAAATAAGACAATAAAAAAGCAGTCTCCTTCAGGTCAAGTTCAATTCCTGGACTACATGTCCAAATAGTTTTCTTGACAATCATATGGAAATTGTTTGCCATTACCAACTTCTGGTTTGTTCTAGAGACTTAGAATAGTCAGGTGTTTTCACATCCCATTATTTCAGGTATGTCCAGGCATAGTTTTTTGAGATCATGAAAGTTACCTAGGCACTGATATCTGCTGTAATTCACAAGGCAATGCCTGTGATTCAAATATGTATCTAGAGGCATATTAGATTAATCTGTATGGATCCTTATTACTTTTTATAGTGCACATCCAAGGCTAATTTGGTATAGACATCTCTTTAACTGGAGCATAAAACTCATATCATATCTAACAACTCAATAAACAAGACAACTACAAACAAAGCAAATTATTCAACTCCTTAACTATTTATGAGCAGACTAAAAGATGCTACTGCATACTAGCTGAGAATTTAAGATTGTTCTCACTCTATGTTATTCTACCACTTAAGTAGGGGAAAAGAAACCCCACAGACCAATTTTAAACCTGAAGTAATTTATTCTGGGTCACATTTGCTATTTGGCAACCTCCCCAAAACCAAATTATTCTGATTAAAGTGCACATTATTGCTTTGGATTGCATATGTGAATTATTACATTCAATCATTATGGCTCAGATCCAAATGAGCTGCTTAGGCACACGTAAGTACTTGACAGTGTGTGCAGCCTTCTAGTTCCCCTGGACTAAATCAAAAGAGTTATGCGTGCTTAAGCCATTGAAATCAATGGGTTTATGTATTCTTAGCTCCAGTAAAGCATCTGGTTTTAATCTGCAATTCCAACTAGCTTCTTCTGGGTTCCTTTGAGTTTCAGGCATAGCTTTTATTGGCTAGGTTGAATGCAGCATTAGGAAGGGGCAGATCAGAATTCCTTTTTAAGATAGCTGTCCTCTCTATGAAACTCTGACTTCTGCTGCAGGAAGAACAGATTTTAATTTAGTTTGATTTGAGGTTATGATTAACTATCCCACAGACAAAGCTGAGTCCCTCAGCTGCAATGAACTGGGAGAGAAAAGCAGAATTGCAACAGTTGGAAGAAATTACTTCAGCCACTGAAAATTCCAGCGTAGTGCAAGATCCAAATTAAGGCATTTACAAAACCTGTCTATCCAATTTACTATCAATTGTCTCTTGAAGATATCCAACAAATGAGAACTCACCACCTCGTTATTAGTTTGTTAACTACAGAACTGAACTGACACTTCCCAACTAGAATTTATCTTCCATAACTTAAGATTCTGATTATTTCACATCCTACACCAACAATACTTGAAAAGAGATCATGGTTGCTTGCTGCATGTCACCATTTTGGGTTCTTGAAGAGTCCTATTATATTTCTCAAGACCAAATGCCCAGTCATTTCAATCATCATTGTTGCCTTCTCCGCACTGTTTCAGTTTACTTTTCTTAAGATGTTTAATTAAACTCTATAGCCTTCTAAAAATGTATTTGAGTGCCTGTTCCCTGTAATATGAGTAGTTCTTCTTGAAGATTCTTTGGATATGGTCTATGTCATCTCAAAACAGGAAACATTGGTAGGGGAGGAGGGGAGAGAATATTTTATTTTAATTTTAGAGGATCATTTTTCTATGTGCTCAAACATGACCTTTTCACAAACTTTTCCCCCCTCAGTTGTCAAACTCAGGGTGATCCTTTATTTCTGTTTGTAGCTGCATGCAAAATTGTGTGTTTAAAAACTGCTGAAATTGTCAAGATACTTATTTTTTCCCCTCAGAGCTCAGGTCAAAAAGTTCTTTTTAAGCTTCCAGCCAAGTATCATTACTCAGAAAGAAAAGTGTTGAATGTAAACCATCTTCAACCTGGTATTTTTCAGATGGGTTAGATTTCCATACCCATAATCTAGATCCAGTAAGAACAAAGGCTATGATTATATAAATTAAAGGCCAATATATCTGATAGGAACAATGTTTGGGAAAACTGTCAAAGAACAGAAGGAGAGACAAAATGGTATAGTGTTTAATATTTAGATGAAGTCTAGGAAGAACTAGTTAAAAATTAAGTAAGCTTAAAGGGTGCCTTTGCCCCAGACACTCTTTGTTAGGGATAACATTGTTTACCCTAACTGGTTTGGGTAAAAATAATAAATATGGTATCATGGTTTGTTAGTTAAAGTGTGTGTAACTTTAACTGCAGGAATGTAATTATGGGTGTGGTTGTAAAAGCACTATATAAGAAGAGAGGCAATGCAGCTCTCTCTCTCTGACTTACTGATCCCTAATTACTTGATGGATTGATGACTGCGTTCTTGCTGAAACGGGGAGTGAAACAGGAGTGTTTATTTTTCTCAACAGAGAGAAGATAAGATTGGACTGATTTATTGTAAGTGAACTGACATTGGCTATTCAACACGGACTTTGCAAATAGAGTATCCCCGACAAGACTTGACTGAAATTGATATATGACTAATGGACCGTTTATTTGACTATGCTATAATTCTTAAATGGAATAAACTATATTCTTGATAGCACAAGCGTATCTGTATTTTTACTGCGTGTTAACTAGAAAACTTATCTCACACATTTACCTGTCTTCCTATCTGACTTCGCTGCACGTTCTGTTTAGTTTGTTTTCCTTAACACCCGTTGGGGAATCCAGGCTTAACACTCTTAATCAGATTTCTTAATCAGGTTGGCATTCTTATTCACTTTCTTAGGTCTGTGTTGAGAGTACAACTACCTATTTTTGGAATTATAGTGAAAAGAGGACCCTAGTCATGTATTGCTGCTTAGGTTGCCATCTTTGAATTCTTCAACCTTGTTGCTAGGAATTTTCCCAACTATTGAGATTGGAGGGTTCCCCCCCCCTCCATACTTAGCAGATGATATAAGGACACCTCAAAGACAGCTATGGACTTATCCCAAATAATTTTCATCTCCAAGCAATTGGCTTGTGATCTGAAGATGGAAGAAATGGCTTTAATGATTCTTTGCCATAGCCAAATCACTACCTGATCCAGATGAGACACATCACACCCTGTGACCCTATGGTGGGAGACTGGGTTGGTTTTGAAAGTCTGTCTCAGACACCATATAGATCTGAAAGAAATCCAGTGGGTCCTTGGGATTTTTCCAGTAATTGGGTAGGGTTCATTGCCTCAAAGTAATCTGTTTCATTTATCAAAAATGAGCCACTTCTACACTTATATTCTTGATATAACTTAACATATGAGAGTAGGATGAATGCTACCTAAATTTGACAAATAAATCAGGATAAATAAAAATGAATTTTGCCAACTAATTTGTCATTGATCATGGTTGTGTGATGATTGTTTAAGCCCCCTTTTTATGTGGTATAATAGGAGTAGATATTGGATTCTCAGATCAAAGTCTATCATTTTCAGTATATTAATGGAATGCCAAATTTCCCTACTTTTCTGGCCCAACCACATTTATTATGATGTTTGTTTATTACTCTATTCTGAAGGTTTAAATGGAAAGAAGGCAGAAGCTTTCTACAGTCAAGTTATCCCCAAAAAAATGTAAGCAGAATAATGTTACTTTCCCTCCATTGGACCTTTAAGATATTTTAGTATTACTCAAGTTTACTTCCCACCCCAAGCATTTTTAAGATTCAAAGTTCCTGGTAAATGGGGCAGCTTGTGGCCTAGTAGACTGAGGGTGAATGAGAGGGTTCCCCCCAAATTTAGTAAAGGACTAGAAGCACCATTTCAAGCCAATTTCAGCCCTACACCCCAACATAATTTAGTGTCCTCCTTTCATATTAAGAAGTCATTTGGCGGAACCGGTGTGCTCCAATAAGAGCAAGATATGGTTTGAAGGCCCATGTGTTTCAGTTTCCTTTTGTACACATTTGTCTGGATTGATTTCTGGTTGTGTATTGGTGAGCTTACATCAAAAGGAATAATGACAGTATTTAAATCAAACAGAATGGTAGAATTCCACTTACATCCAAAGAATCTTCATTCACAAGGATGAGAGTCATACTCTGGGAAACAAGCCTGCAGGAGTACCCTAGAGAAATAACATAGAATGGGTGGTATCAGAAAATACAATCAAAGGGCTCATTAAACAACGATCTTGTTTTTTTCGTGCTAAAAAGAACAAAGAATCTTCTTCAGTCATCCTATCATCATGAATGAAAGAACAGAGTCCAGCTAGAAAGCTCAAATTCTCAATCAACCTCCTTTCCTTCATTGGCACATTTCCTTAGTTGGCAGGCCAGCCCCCGAGCCTTCCTTTGTGTAAGTTTAATACATAACTCTGAATCCTAATGGACATTTCTAAATTGTGTAAGTATTTGCAGATAATCTGAGCATAACAGAATGTACAAGAGATTCCCAGCATGACTGTTATGACATGTTTAATTGTGTGCATGAAATACAGGCCCAGTGTAGTATGAGATCAAAATATATTTTTAAAAAACAGTGCTGAGTAAGATAACAGTCTTCCCCAAATTATCATCCACCAGCTAACTTAAAAGGTTGTGCACTCTGGAAATTGTTCAGTCTCAAAGCAGCTGAAGAATGTTGGATTGAGGAAGCCTGGACTATGTAATACATCCACTTGATTTCCACAGTGGCCAATTAGATGCTCCTATGTTGGTGCCTCATCTGCAATAAAGTATAAGGATGGCAAAATAAAAATATGTGGTGACATCATCCAACAAACCATTTTTCATCATTTCCCCAGTCACTGTTGAACCTAACGAAAATAACAGGGCCTGTTTTGCCCATCAAGCTGACACAGATTGCAAGTTATTTTCTTACTGTATTTGTGTTTGGCTTAAAGTGTTATGTAAACCAAGGCACTTTCATTGGTAAGCTATAGTTTATGGCTTACCCTGCTATGCAAAGTCAACCAGCTATATTTTTTTAAACAAATCACAGTTTTATTTACTCATGCAATCTAGAAGCTGTCCCTCTTCTATTGTGTATTGTATTGTACTGAGTGTACTGCACTGTACTGTATTTATACATAAAATTTAATGACTGTCCATCCCACTTATAGAGTGGTTTTAGACTCCAGATTACAATGTAAAAAGTAAGAAAAAGGAAAAAGAAAAGAAAGAAACTATGAGTGATTTAAAGCTAAATATTGGAACAAACAAACCAACACACACAAAAAATCCAACAGGGGCTCAACCACCATCCTGCCCCAATAACCAGATCTTTACTAGTTTCTAGCATGTCATCAGAGTGAGACCCATCTGGATAGCTTGGAAATCTAATTCCAGAGGGCAGGTACCATGACAGAGAAGACATACTTCCTTGTCCTGTTAGATGACATTACTTAAATAGGGATTTGAAGTGCACTCACTATGTCCAATTCCAGTAGTTGGATAGAGGCAGATGGAGAATGACTCTAGTTCCAAAGCCATAGCATGAGCCCAGCATAAAGAGAATATAACAATGAAGTCAGGATACTAATAAGCAATTAATTCAACTCTTTATGGGAGAACTCGACAACCTGTGACCCATTGGCTCATCGTCTCAAAGATATTTCCTTACCCAAACAGAGAAACAGAATGACCAAGGCAAAAATGCAGTGCGAGTGAAAGTGACTTCTGATTTCCTGGTGGCCTGACTGGATCTGACCAGCCTCCAACATCCAATTGTGGACTATCTACTTGGTCACCAGAGGGCTGGGACAGAACCAGTCTATTGAATCTCTGGGCAGCGTAGCAGCACTGAAGCAACTATAAATTTTGCCAAATGTCAATTCCATGGTGCAGGGTCCATGAAAGTTTTTGTAGTATATAGCAATAGCACTTAGACTTATATACCACTTTATAGTGCTTTACAGCACTCTCTAAGCAGTTTACAGAGTCAGAGTATTGCCCCCAACAATCTGGGTCCTCATTTTACCAACCTTGGAAGGCTGAGTCAACCTTGAGCCTGGTGGGATTCGATCTGTCAAACTGCAGGCAGCTAGCTGTCAGCAGACGTAATTGCACTATTGCATTCTAACCACTGCGCCACTTAGGCTCTTATACTATATACTGTAGATCAGGGGTGTCCAACCTTGGCAACTTTAAGACTTGTGGACTTCAACTCCCAGAGTTCCTCAGCCAGCAAAGCTGGCTGAGGA